TCTTTCTTTCTTTCTTTCTGACAAACTGTATCTTCTCATAACCTGTTTTTGGTAACTGACTAATCTTGTGTGGGCATGCGTGTGTGTTATAATTCTTGTTTTATTTTCCACCTGGAAAGTTTCCTTGGGCTGGTTTCTATACTTTTTTCTATGTCGCTTTGAGCACGGTTTTTGGAGGGGGGCTGAAGTGGGGTAGGGAGACTATTCAGGTTTTTTATATAGAAATAAACAGTAATTCTGGGCCTCATTTGTTTTGTAGTGTTCTTTACGTTTCTGGTGACCCTTCTGATGATGAGATATGGTTTTCTAAATCTCACAGTTTGAAGAAATATTTAAAAATTGGTAAAATATTTTTTAAATTGATATAATATTTCAATTGATATATATTATATGTAATACAATATATTACATTATAATAGCTATTGATATAAAATTGATATAATATTTAAAATTGATAAAATCGAGAGAAAATTCTGGGAATTTTAATGAATATCTAATCCTGGAAGCACATTTTCTAGAAGCACATTCTGATGAATTGACTAGGGATTAGTTCCAAGTAAAAGTTGGAAATGACTTGAAGGCACACAACAACGACAACAACAAAAGTTATCTGTTGGATTCCACCTGTGTAGCTTAATCCTGCAAAAACTAACTTGGTGTAGTGGTTTGAATGTTGAACTAGGACTCTGGGAGACTAGGGTTCGAATCACTACTCAGCCATGGAAACCCACTGGTGATCTTGAGCAACTCACACTCTCTCAGCCTCGGAAGAAGACAATGGCAAACCTTAGAAGAAATCTTGCAGAGAAAACTCCATAAGGCTGCCATCAATGGCTTGAAGGCACTCAATGGCTGCATCTCAGGTCAGCAGCCCCACTTATGACATACCGAGGAGGGGCGATGGTAAGGACTGCAACTCTCATCAGCCTTGCTGGCCAGTAGACCCAATGGTAAGGAATGATGAGACTTGGAGTCCAAATAACATCTTGCTGGCTGCTACAGTTGCTTACTAGTCGTAGGGGACGGAGAGCCAGCATGGTGTAGTGGTGTGAATGTTGGACTACAGTTCTGAATACTAGGGTTTGATTCCCAGCTCAACCATGAAACCCACTGGGTGACTTTGGGCAAGTCACACACTCTCAGCCGCTGGGGAAGGCAAGGGCAAACCACCTCTGAACAAATCTGGCTAAGAAAACCCTATGACAGGCTTATCTTAGGGCTGCTGTAAGTTGGAAATGACTTGAAGGCACACAACAACAACAGCGCTAGAACAGTGTAGTGTGATACCGTCCTTATTCCCAGCAAAAGCGGATCAGCAAATACGCTGCCGCTTGTCATGATCATTTCTAATTGTGGGGAGGAGGTTGTGGCACTATAAAAGGCGCGAGGAAGGGCAGATACAATAGTCAGGTTCTCTTTCAGTTCTTTTGGGCTACTTTATAAATGAATATCGCAAACACCGTTACAATGGTTTTTTGAGAACTGGCAAATTCAAGCTGGATAAAAACAATACACCATATCCCATAACTGAATACAGCTCATCTACAGCTTTCCAGAGTCCCATGCACCTGAGAAATCCCCGGGGAAGGACTTGCTTGCAGAAATCATCGAGATAACGCAGATCCGTGGTCGTGGAAGATAACACTGTAAAGCCCTAAATAAAAATACAAGATAAGATACAACAAATACACAAAGCCACTATGAGGAATGGGCCTTCCTATTCCCTGCTACTCTGATTGATTAATTTCCTATTGCCTAAATCAAGGATCTAATTCGGGGAAGAGGAAAGTATGGCCCCTACTTTGAAAGACCATGAAGTGTAGCCCTTCACATCCAACTTGTCCCTCTCAAAATGGTGACTAGATGTGATGTGACAGTACCTCCATTTTGAGAGGGACTCTGAAGAAAAATGGAGGTATTCTAGAATGGTGGCATGGTACATGAAGGTCTGAAGGGGAGAAGCTGCACCCTGCACCCCACACAGTTGCTCCCTGCAGCCGATTAAAGTTTGTTTCTTTCCACCTCCTTTTGGGCCAAACCATACTTCAAGAGGGAAAAACGGCTATCGAGTTTCCCACATGTATGGGAAAGTCCGAGAACCAGTGTGGGGTAGTGGTTTGATTGTACTGGACCAGGAGGACAGGGTTCGAATCCTTGCTCGGCCACAGAAACACCTTAGGTAGCCTTGTGCAAGCTGCACTCTCTCAACCTCAGAGGAAGTCAGTGGCAAACTTCCTCTGAATAAATCTTGCCAAGAAAACATTACAATAGGGTCATCAGAAGTTGGAATTGGCTTGAAGGACCATAACAACAACAAGAACAACAACAACAAATGGAAAAGCTAACACATTCGGGGCAATTCCAGTTACAAAACAACTATCAGGAGATTATAGAAGACTACAAGTAAAAAGAGTGGGGAGCAAGTGTTGTCTTGCTCTTTTGATTTTCTTTGCTAAATTTGCCAATGGAAAACTTCACTGCACTCCCAAGTGTCCCTATTTTAACATATGCATCAATCAAAAGAAATATAGAGAAATGGATGGGAGGGAAAGCTTCTTCTTCTACAAAATGCTCACATAGCTATTTCTCTCAGCATCCATTTTACTGAAAAAGAGGAGCTCCTGAGCAAATTAAGAGGGCAATCCTTCCAAAAGGAATTGGCAGTGAAATTGGCGAATCAAACAGGTGGTCACCAAAATGGAAAACTGACAGCCAATAGTTAAAAAAACATGATCGCAAGCACCACTCCTGGTGCGAAGGAAGGGCACTGATCCAGACATGCATTCCTCAATTGCCCAGCTTGTAGTGAGTTGGGCCTCTGCCACTGGGCAGATGGGCTTTGGAGTCCTTGCTAGCATCATGGCCAACTATTAACAGCTGTCCAGTGGTACTGAAAGGTTTGATTTGTATTGTTTATCACAGAATCATAGAATAAGAAGATACCCCCAAGGGTCATCCAGCCCAACCCCTGCCATACAGGAAGACAGAATCAAAGTACTCCTAACAGATGGCCATCCAGCCTCTGTTTAAAAACCTCTAATGATATATATTGTATTGGCTTGGCATTGAAGCTAAGAAGAGATATGAAGGCTGAGAATGGACTGGGGAAGGGATTTTTCCTCTGTTAGTAACCTGCCTGCACAGTTCTTATGACTGTGGGGTCAAGCTGGGCCATGCCTGTGCACTTTGATTTTCTTTGTTTCTGCACTATAAAAAACCATTGGGAATCTTATCTTTCATCAACCTCACCCTAGGCAGGGTGCACCCTACCCATGGGCCCCATAGCCAGCCATGGAATAGTTTGAGCAGAATTAATTGTTTTAGGAGCTTAAACAATTCCACTGGCTATCAAGAAATGCCTGATCCCATCAAGGAAAGGGCTGGAATGCTTCTTGGCTGTGTACCATCTGATGCATCATTTACCACCAATAAGGCTTATCTTATAGCAGTAGCAGGCATCAACGTTTGGCACTACATGAAGTCTTGGGGAGGCCTGGAAATACAGCATAGAAGACTTCCTTATTGCTCTGAAATGTATAATACCTGCAGATAATTTGCAGTTCCAGAATTATAAGTTCATACAGCACAGCCGTGCCATCTGAGGGCTCACCATCCGCAGACCCAAGGTCACGCGGCCGCCGAGCCCTGTAAAATGAATGGGGTGCGTGCCCATGCGCCTGCACCGCACCGCACATGGGAGCGCACCCCATTCAAACAAACAGATTTGAGGTCTCACTTTTTTGCTTTTTGCGGGGTGTGTGTGTCTGGAACAGATCCCCCGCATATAGGAAGGGCGGACTGTACTCCAAGATAAGACTTTTTCACTGTTGGGATTCTCTGGTTGGAAAAAAAGACAATAGAAGCTGTTCATGCAAAAGACCTCACAGGACAAAATGCAGTTAATGCGCCATGTGCATCCTGTGGTGGCTAACCAAATCGCCCTTGTGAATAAAGTGTTCGCCAAACTCAAGACGTCCAAAATATTCCTCCTCTATATGAAGTATCTGATGTCGCTTCAAGGTGATGCTCTTGGTGAAGCCTTTCCCACAATAGGAACACTTATAGGGCCTCTCCCCAGTATGAATCCGTTGATGTTCGAGTAGCGTATCCCTCCGTGAAAAGCTCTTTCCGCACTCGGGGCATTCGTAGGGGCTCTCACCCGTGTGCCGTCTCTGGTGGCGTCGCAAATGCCCATGCTGGGTGAAACGTTCCCCACAATGGGAGCATTCGTGAGGCCTCTCCCCAGTGTGAATCCTTCGGTGAATCTTTAAGATTTTTGTCGAAGAAAAGGTTTTCCTACATTCAGGACATTCGTATCTTCGCCCATATTTGGAGGCAAGGGGTGTTATGGACCTTAGCTGCTCAAACATGTCGCTCTTGGCAGCTGAGAGAATGGATTCATGGTCCCCATTCATGATTTTGCTCCACTGCTGCTTTCTGGATGTACATCTTTCTTCGTCAGTCTCAGCTATGATTGATACATTCCTCTGGATTATACATGGGATAGTCTGAGATATTTCCTCCACTTGATCTTCTCCACTGTAAGAATTCCCCACCTTGAGCTTAGGTCCCTCCCCATCACCTGCAAAAAGAAAGAGAGGGAGATCATTTCCCTCCCCACTGACCTCTTTTCATGACTGTTACAGCCTCCGTCTGCCCAGCCTTTTCTCCTGCCCTGAAGGTCACATCTTTCCTCTCCTTATATGATGAACTATGTGCATGTCATGATATAGGTTGAGGCTCTTTTATCCGAAGGACTTGGGACCAGAAATGTTACACTACACTGGGGCTCAAAGATATTAATACCCCACCCTATATCAAAAGATCTCAGGGCAGCTTACAAAAAAGCACCAAAACCGGTTATACACTTTAAAACAATAAAGTAATCAAACTAAAAACTTATTAAACTGCAGTAATACATTAAAAAACAGACATAAGAGGTTTAAAAAATTTAAAACTATGTGCACCGTATTTGATGAATTAATGAGGGCCAGAGGAGAGACACTGTGGCATAGTGGTTTGAGTGTCAGACTAGGACTCTGGAGACCAGGGTTCGTTCCTCAGCTCAGCCATGAAACCCACCGAGTGTCCTTGGACAAGTCACACTCTCACAGCCTTAGGGGAAGGCAATGGCAAACTTCCTCTGAACAAACTTTGCCAAGAAAACCACATGGTAGGCTTGCCTTAGGGTAGCTGTAAGCTGGAAATGACTTGTAGGCACACAACAACAACAATAGCAGCACTATATCAGTATAGTGTGCTATTGTCCTTTTTCCCAGCAAACATCAGAAATTACATGGAGGCACACAACATCCATCAATGAGGCTCAGAGGCTTTGATGAATAGCCAGGTTTTAACTTGAGGACTAAATGTTAGGAGTTTTAGTGCCAGTCAGGCCTCCAGGGGAAGGGAATTCCAGAATTGGGATGGCAATGCTGAGAAGACCTTCTCCTATGTCTCAACATGGAAGAGTCCCCCCCCCATCAGATAGAGACATCACTAAGGGGGGCATTGGGGTGACCCCACACCAGACGACACCTTAAGAGTGGGGTGATCACCTGGGGGGACGGTTGCTCCTGTCTGTGCCAAGACACCCGCCGACAACCGCCTCTGCCAGCCAAGGTGCCTTTGACGTCAGTCAGTTATGGCGGCTGATAGAAGCGTGGTGCTATGGCTGCCCAGCAGTCCCTTCCAGATCTGGCAGGGCTGATGGCCAAGCGTAAAAGGAGTCTTCCACAATGAATGTCTTCTATTTTGTGTACTGCAAAGGTTTAGCGAATTGGCACCTGTAAAACCACGTGTGAACCCTACTGATTCCTTCCCCCCATTCTTCTCTCTTTCCCCACAATGGCTTTTATCCTTGGATTCACATCTCTTACCAGGAATTTCAGCTGCCACAAGAAGATTCCCTGCTGATTCTTCTGCCAACTTGACATGGACCTCCGCTGGCCCTGGCTCCTTCGTCTTGACCAGAATCCCCTTCTCACCTGGAGAAGGGAGAAAAAGGGGAGAGAAAAAGGACTCCTGCTCACACGCTGGTTGCGAGAATCCCTGCCCTTTCCTATTGAGTTTTTCTCCTTCCTCTCGGACCAAGGAGGAAAAAGAAGATGGATTCCATTGCCATTTCCTTCTGCCTCACATATTCGACATCCGCTGGACCGTGGGTTGGAAAAGGATCTGTCCAAAGCAGTAAAGACCCAACCCATTCCATTTACCAAATACAGTCAGCCCTCCACATTTGCAGCTTTAACTTTTGTGGCTTTGATTATTTGCAGATTTGATTATGTTTTCTCTAAGTATCTCTAGGTCCTTCAGCGCAACTCTGTTGGAAATTGACCATAGAGTTGCACTGGAGGACTTAGAGATTACTACAGAAAACACTTCTCTAGGCATTTGTAGGTCCTCCAGCATGACTCTATGGTCAATGTCTGGTAGATGTTACCATAGAGTAGTGCTGGAGGACCTAGAGAGTCCTAGAGGGGTGTTCTCTCAGATTAAAAACATTGTGTTTTTGTTATTTGCAGTTTTTCCACTTTTACAGGGGGCCTGTGCCCCAACCCCAGAAAATGTGGTGGGCCTACCATACCACTGGGAATACTTACATATCAAGAATCATGGCGTTGGAAGGGAACAAGGGCCAACTAGTCCAACCCACTGCCATATCTAGGTCCGTTTTGTTGTCGATTTAGATATCCCTGTCCTCCTTCTTTCAATACACAGAGCATTTACTGTGGCCATCCCCAGTCTGCTTCATAAGAAATCCTGATTTGTACCAGGATTCTCTTCCACAATTAAACAACCAAGACATTGCTCCTCTCCTTATCCTTATTGCGGAGGATTGGGGAATGATGGCTGATGGTGCTTATTGAATTTCAGTGGGAGAGATACTCACCTGAGGCCGGCCTGCTCTCAACATCTTCCTGCAGAACTTGCCAGAACATGGTCTGGTGAGAGGGTTGTGTTCGAGTCTCCTCAACCACGTGCAAAGGCACGCCTGTCTCCTTGAGGTTCATCAGCCCCTGTTGCACAAGAGACAATGTGAAAGTAGAGATGCACTCACTGAGAGGGTGAAGAGCATGGAGGAATCCTTGCTCTGATCTCAGATCACCGACTGAAACATGCAGCCCAAAGGCTGTGTGCAGGTCCCTCAAGCCATGGTGGGCAACCACATGTGGACCACACAGGCCTCCTGCCAGACTGAGAAAACTGGACTTTGTCCACTCCTCTCCTTCTATTTTTCCTCCCAGAATTCTGCTTCTGCATCCTTTAGAGCAGGAGTCGGCAAGATTTACAGACCTGGGGCCAGTCCGCTGGTCCTGGGGTCTTCCGCCGGGCCGGGGGGGGGGGATGGCGGCGCGCACGCTCATGCGCGCATGTATGCACAGTACTCCGGGAGTACTGCGCATGCGCACAAATGCTTGCTCACGTATGCACAGTATTTCCGGAGTACTGCACATGCACGAGCGAGTCGCAGCTGCCATTTTGGAAAACAAAATGGTGGATGTGACGCGTGTGGTAGCGGCGCAGCGGCAGCGCATGCGGCAGCAGCAGCCGGTCCAGAGGCCTCAGGGGGCTGCACCCAGCCCCAGGGCCATAGGTTGCCAACCCCTGCTCTAGAGGCATTGGGATAGTTTTCCTATACTTTGAGGACCCTACTTTAAGTGGTAGATTCAACAGCTGCAGATTAATTCCTGCAAATGTGGCAGTAGCACAAGTCATAGCGAGTCCAATGTGCCATCTTTCCCAACTCTGAGAATAAGAACTTTAATAATAATAACTTTATTTTTGTATCCTGCCTTTCTGCCATGACAATCAAGGCGGCTTACATGAAGTAAAACTGGATGTAAATAAAAGATAGCCTACATTAAAACAACAACAACAACAACAATAAATAACCTCCCCTTTTAAGAGAACTAAATACAAGACTAAAATAACAACATAATATTAAAACAGCAGTTTTTCTGGAACAACAGTGGATGCATAAAGTGGAGAGAGCACAAAGTAGGTTAGATTGATGTATTCAGGGAAGGGCTGCCGGAAGAGATCCGTCTTGACAGCTTTTTTAAAGCTGTCTAAGCTGGTTAATTGACGGATCTCCTCCGGCAAGGCGTTCCATAGTGAAATGCTACCCTGGTTTTGATAATAATGTTAATTAATGGTAGGCAGAGCCAAGGGGAAGTGACTAAAGGCTTGTCTATACTTGCCAGAATACTCTGGAATGCTCCTGAGTAGCCTGGCCTTGAATTCCTCCTTTGCCATGGTCTCTTTTCCCATTGACGATGGGTTGTTGCCTTCCCACATGGTCCCCATTTGTTGCCCAGTGCCACTGCTGAGGACAGAATCAGGGACCCAGCCACACTATTGATGCTGGGTGCCTTGTTCTGACCTCAGAGCCACTCATGTCTGGAGTGGTTGCATCAAGTGATGAATTCTGGATCACTTCCTGTTGAGAAATAGGCCTCTCTTGGGCCTCAAAAAGCCCCCAAACACATTGAAAATGCCCCGTATGCTCCCTGGAGGTCATTCTGTTGTTGTGTTTTGTTGTTGCTGCTGCTGCTGCATCTTGGGCTTATGGTGATCCTAAGGTGAACCTCTCTGGGGCTGAGAGTGTGTGACTTGCCCAAGGTCACCCAGTGGGTTTCCATGGCTGAGCAGGGAATCAAACCCCGTTCTCCAGAGTCCAGCACTCAAACCACTACATCAGGGGTAGGCAACCTTTCCCCTTTAAGGGCCGAGGGACTTCAGCTCCCAGAATCCCAGGAGCTATTGGCCAACATGGGACTATTGGCCAACATGGCTGAGGCTTCTGGGAGCTGAAGTCCCTCGGCCCTTAAAGGGGAAAGGTTGCCTACCCCTGCACTACATCGTGCTGGCTTTCAGAGGGCATTTGCTGTTGTTTTACAGGGGATTGTGGCAAGAAGTCTCCTGGGGGGACTAAGGTAGCCTCCACCAGTTACCCACCTCTGGTTTAAATGCTGCATCGAGGATGTCTGCACCATCCATTTCCATGAAATGCTAAAGGCAAGTTGAGGATTATTTTTTTTTTAACCAGATGACCATAAAATAGATTTCCCTCCCGCTGCGTCCTGTAACATGCAGAACAGTCAAACCTCACCTGCCATTTCCCCGATTCGTCCTCTCGTTGGCTCATTAGGAAGTCCTCCACCAGAGCCACAGCCTGGGAGCAGGTGTCCGGTCCTCCGGCTCGGATCCAGTTTTGCAGATCTGACGGGAGGCTGGCCAGGAATTGCTCCAGGATCAGCAGCTCCAGGATCTGCTCCTTGCTGCGTCTCTCCGGCTTCAGCCACCGATGGCAAAGCTCCTGGAGCTGGCTGTGAATCCTTCGGGGATCCTCAACCTCCGGGCAGCAGAACTGCCGAAAATGCTGGCGCTGCATCTCCATTCTCAGGGCATCCTCTCGCAAGATGGCTGCCTTCACTTTCCCATAATCCTCCCTGTCGCTGGCTTCCAGGCTCTGAAAGGCTTGCTCTGCTTCTCCGCTTAGCGCCGGCAGAAGCCGGGCTGCCCACTCGTCTACTGGCCACCGGCAAGCTTTGGCCACTTGCTCGAAGGAGACCAGGAAGGCCTTGGTGTCTTCCCAAGGAACGGCCTCTGACACGATGACATTTTCCTCTCCGGGATGAACGGGCTGCATTGTTTTCAGGAACTCTTGCCACTGGTTTTCCCAGTGCTGTTGCATCCCGCTACCTGTCTCCCCTTTCGCTTCTTGAGATGTCCCCCATCCTGGTCGCTGCTCAGCCATATATTCAGGTTAAAAACCGCCCTGGTAGATCCTTCCAAAACCTTTTTTCTCTTTCAGTTCTGGCCCTGGAGAATTTTCCTCCTTGCTCTCCCGATTATTCCTCTGAGACCCAGACGTCGAAAGGAAGAAATCACCTACCTAACTGTCAGGTTGATTCCAGGCAAAGTCCTCCGCTCTTCTACGAAGACGAAGATCGAAATGACGTTCTGCTTTTCTTGCTCAGCTTTCCAGCGCTCCTAGAGAATATAACCCAAGGCTGATGAGATTTCCTTGCTGACAAAAGAGCTATACTTGGTGCCAAAAGGGTCC